AAAATAAATTTATTTATTGACTATTTAAATTTGTTTTGAAATTTCTATCAAAATGTATAAAATAACTCAAACTTCTTTAGTTATCAATAAATAAATAAAAAATTATTTTACTCAATGTAAAATATGAGATTAGTTAGCAATTTGCAGTTACCAAGTGCTGTACCAATAGTAGAAGCTCCATCATTCCCAATTTGATTTTACCTTTTATATATGCAAATCAAGTTTAATTCAAAATTTTAGATATTTTATAAATTAAAACTATTTTTAAATTAAGTAAAAATAAAATGCTTTAACTTAATTTTTTTAAAAAAATTATAAATGGAATGGAATAAATTTACACTAATGCTAATTCTAAATTTCTAAGTTAAGTACACTTACTCAAACCTAATCCAATATTTTATGCTCCATTATCTCCAATTTAATTTGCACTTTTTAAACAAAATAAATTTATTTATTGACTATTTAAATTTGTTTTGAAATTTCTATCAAAATGTATAAAATAACTCAAACTTCTTTAGTTATCAATAAATAAATAAAAAATTATTTTACTCAATGTAAAATATAAGATTAGTTAGCAATTTGCAGTTACCAAGTGCTGTACCAATAGTAGAAGCTCCATCATTCCCAATTTGATTTTACCTTTTATATATGCAAATCAAGTTTAATTCAAAATTTAAGATATTTTATAAATTAAAACTATTTTTAAATTAAGTAAAAATAAAATGCTTTAACTTAATTTTTTTAAAAAAATTATAAATGGAATAAATTTACCCTAATGTTAATTCTAAATTTGTAAGTTAAGTACACTTACTCAAACCTAATCCAATATTTTATGCTCCATTATCTCCAATTTAATTTGCACTTTTTAAACAAAATAAATTTATTTATTGACTATTTAAATTTGTTTTGAAATTTCTATCAAAATGTATAAAATAACTCAAACTTCTTTAGTTATCAATAAATAAATAAAAAATTATTTTACCCAATGTAAAATATAAGATTAGTTAGCAATTTGCAGTTACCAAGTGCTGTACCAATAGTAGAAGCTCCATCATTCCCAATTTGATTTTACCTTTTATATATGCAAATCAAGTTTAGTTCAAAATTTAAGATATTTTATAAATTAAAACTATTTTTAAATTAAGTAAAAATAAAATGCTTTAACTTAATTTTTTTTAAAGTTATAATTGAAATAAAATATTTATATATATATTTCTTACTTTAACTGTAAGTCAATATGAGTTTGAGCTTTCAAGTTAGATTTCATTAACTGTTTATTTAAAAAAAAGATTTTATGATAATAAATAAAGTTAATAATGATAGATACATCTTATAGAATATTTTAAGTGTTATTCTATTACTCACTTTTTTTTTAGTTATTTTCCATTTATATTTCTTTGATTATTTATTTATTAATTATTTAATTAATTATGATCAGAAATTAATAATTTTGATTAATTAAAAAAAATTATTGCTTTTCTTTATGAAGTAATCTTATTTAATTTATACCATTCTAAAAAAATAAACTGTAGATTCTCCTATTTTAGTACCCATAAATATATTTATTAACATTCATTTTTTGGAAATTTTTAAAAAGCACAAAATCTCTGTTTTTTCACCTTAATAGGAGGGTTAAGAAACAGATAATATGTAATACATAATCCTATTATTTACTTGTTAAAAAAAGGTTCTAAATTATATTTAGACATTTTTTTGTTTTCTATGTAAAACTCTATTATCTAATAAACAAATGGCTTTTATAAGACTTATTTGAATTCTAGATCTATTGAAAAAATATATGTATGTATGTGTATTATAATTATCATAAATTAGTATCAAATAATTAATTTCTGATTGATTTAATAAATTCAATCTTTCATTCATTTTGCTTACTCACTATTTTTTTATTTGGCAGCAGCTGCTAAACGATCATAAATAATATTTAGTTAATCTGATTGTTTGGGATTCTTTATGTTTTTTGATTGAACAAAATATCCAATTAATTAATTATTAATTCAAGTAGATGCTATTTCATAATTGATAAATTAATTATCCATTTCTTTTTCTTGTTCTCCATCCATATTTTATATTACTTAGTATGAGTAAAGTTATAATAAAGAATATCAAAATATGATATTTTAAAATGATGAAATATATTTATTTTGAAGCTAAATATCTATCTATCTATTTATATATTATTATATTATCAAAAACAAAAGAAAAATATCATATAAAATTATACAATCAAAAAATAAGATGATTTATTTAATTATATATCTTATTAACAATTAATAAAATATTGGTAGTTAATAAGGTTACAAAAAATAATTTGAAATTTTTTAAATCCTATAAATACAATCTATTTAATATGAATAATATATTTATTTTTAAACTTAAAAATAATTTTTCATAAATTCATTTGAAATAATTTATTTGAAAAAAATAAAATAAATTTAATCTAAATCCTCTTTTATTAAAGACAAATATATAATTATTATAGCACTTAATTGTATTCTTATTGATGAGGAAAAGTAAGAATTTAATTCCTGGATTTGCAGTTAATAAAGTAGATTAATTTGTTTATTAAATATAATTTTATTTTAATTTTTATAATTAAATATTTGTTGTATGGTTTTTTAATTGATATATGTAATTTAAAGATTAAATATTTTTTAAAAATTTTATTTCTGATAAATTTATATATAAATATGAAAAATAGAGAGAGAGTCATCAAAATATTAAAAAATTTTGTACAAAGTTTACAAAAAGTAGGTAAGATTTGATTAAATTTTTTAATTTTTGTAGAAATTTTTTTTTCGAGACATTACAGAGTTTATTTTAAATAAAAAATTTAATTCTTAGCATTTTCTTTATTTTTTATCTAAAAAATTATTAGGAAGAAATCGATTTTAATTGCTAAAACAAAGATAAACTGAAACTGATGATATTTTAAAATTTACAGAAATTATTTTAAATTAAACTCTATGAAAATAAACTAAATTCTAAAAAATTAATACAATTTTAAAACAAGTAATTTTAAATGGTGATATTCTTTCTTTAAGTCTAAAACAAAAAATATATAAAGTTGACTCAAACATCAATATTAAGTATTATTTATTTTAAATCAAATAAACTATACAGTTTACCAAAAATGCTTTTGGAGTCATTGCATTTAATGTATTTTTGAATCAGAAAGATCATACAAAATGACTTTATTAACTCTATAAATACCATTTCTGTTAGAAAAGATATTATAAATAGGATTATAAATTAATTCGACTCACTTGGAGTTTTACCACTAGATACTGCCAAAATGACATAGTAGTAAACTAAACTTATAACTATTTGCAAAATTAGAGAAACTGTCTTACCTATGGAACCCTTTTTGAATGTAAATATAATTCCTAAAAAAGCAATCTTCATTAATGAACTGTTTATAATAGCTATAATTACCTGCTAAATTAGCATATTAAAACCTTAGAATAATATTGAAATAACTAAGGTGTGTATTGTTTTTAAGTAAAGCAGAGTGAATCTTAATGGTCTTTAAAGGATATCATCAAAAATGTAAAATATACTAAAAAATTAATGAAAAATTGCTACCTTTTTCGATTTAGAAAGTTACATATAAACATTTATTTTTTAGATTTCTTCTTCATCTTAAACCTATTTTATTTAGGTTTATGAGCTTGTTTGAGTTTTGATTTTTTCAACACTTTTAGAGCTTGATTATGATTTAATTATTTGCAATTAGTTAAATTAGTTAGATTCAACCTTCTCTTCGTTCAATTTAATATTTTTTTATTAAAATATTTTTAAGTTTCTTTGGATTTGTTATGTTTATAAATTGAGGAATTTTTATCTTTTTCTTCTTCTATTAAATTAGTTATCTATTTTTTAATTAGGAGTTGATAAAATCTATTGATTTTACTAAATTTCATGTTAGACATTTTCGTGACTCTTAAATTGATGAGTAAAAGGAGAGTGCTGGAATACATCATCATTTATCATTTAAGAATTTTCACAAATATTTTAGTTATTATCAACAATATATTATTATTGTATTCTCAACTCTTATAACTATTCATTTTATAACTAAATATTTAGTTCTTGATTATGAACTTTTGAATATCTTTTTTATACTGCTTATTTGTCTAAGAATCTTCCAGTGATAAATAATTAAATTTCAATCAGCGTGAATATTATCAGTAGCCAAAATATTATATACATATAAAAGTTATCAAAGCTTGCTATATTTTATAGCCCTTATTCTCCAAATGCTGTCTACAAATTTTTATTTTTTAAAAACATATCATCTATGTCTTCAATGATGGTTGTTGGTTTTTAGGATGCACAGCTGCACACATAGCGATTTTAAGCAACTTTAGTGATAAAACAATTTTATTTGCTCCACGATAGATTGTTTTGTTAAAGGCATGTCATATTATATAACTTACTAGAATTTGTATTATTAAACTAGTAAATAATAGTAGACTGATTTAAGATTGTTTAAGAAGATGAATTATAAATCTATGGTGATATTACTTCATTCTTAGAGTAAGTAAAATTTTAACTAATATTTTTGAATTGCTATGTGTATGCCTAAAAATCTGAAGTATTTTCATAAATATTTTACTTGTAATTATTTCTTGAAATACTAAATATGCTTGTTTAATTTTCAGAATTGTAATCATCTGTAGTTAGAACATATTTGAATAGGTTTTTCTATGTTACTTTATCTGACAAAAGAGTGGACAAGTCACCATTTAGAATAATTTGTCCTTAGTTTGGTAAGCTAATATTATTAAGCAGATTTCCAATCTAACTTGATATTTTATCATATGACTAAAAATCTTCGTATGAGTTATTACTTTACAAACTAACGCTTGAGTTTAAAATTTTAAAAGAGTCTACCATATTTTAAATTTAAATATCGTTATTTTGTTGTAAATGACTAAGATTACTATTTTATATGCTTGAGTTAGTATTTTGGAGTAATATTTACAGTTAATCAAATATTTAATTTTTCTAAGTGGTAAAACTGTTTTATTAAGATGAGCTAAAGACTAGTTATGATAGCTAAGCAGTTACTTTGTTAGCAAATGTAGATAAAAGGGAGAATTTAGGTATTTAGAAAGATAATTACTATATATTTTAAATAAGTAGAGTTCCTAAATCATTCATTTGCTATGAAAATTAATTGTTTTTACTGATGTCTTCTGCTATAATACTTAAAGTCACTAGTTAGTTAGTGATTTATATATTTGAGCTCTATAAAACTTACAAAGTCTGTTGATTTACCAGTTTATAATATTCGTCAGCTGATTTATTCTAAGCTTGAACCTATATTGTAGAAGAGGTATTATAAACTCCGAGGTAAGAATCCATAACCTGTACCATAAAAACTAGATTTCCTTATGGCAGAACTGTTTAAATTGAGTTGTTTATAGTCTAATCTTATATCTATCTTCTTAAAATATTCCAAGGGGAAATTAATTCTTAATTAGCATCATCAGCACTATTGTAATAGAAGAACTAGTAAGTTAGAGGAAGATCTTCATCTGTACAATTCAATAATTAAATCTAAAAGATAGTTTCAAGTGCTATTCCTTCTTTGGGATTTATACTTAAAATGCAATTCTATGGCGGTATATTAATTTAAATGCTAATTGTAGACAAACTTGGCATAACATATAATGGATTATAGACAGAAAATCTTATTTAAAGTGTTGGCTTTGAGGGATCTATATTTTAAAAATAGTTCCAAATTCTGAATCTAATTTGGAAATAATCAAATTTGATTGCTGCAACTGGATCATTATCATATAATATAGCTCCTGCATAAGACAAGTAATCTGATGAAACATTCTCACCATAATTTATTTAAAAATTAAGATCATCATTCAAATTAATTTTTCTGTTAATGTGTGTTGCTGCTAAAATATTTAGTGGAGGAATATCTAATTCTGTGAATATACAGGTAGTCGTGAAATTTGATTGCCTAGAATCTTTTTATCCAACAACTGTAAACTAAATTATAGTGTATGGCTAAAAGGTTTTAGCAGGAAACTTAATACTACTGGCTCCTTGTTGCAATTAAATCTACTTATTCTAGTAATCATAGCAAATATGGTCGTTAGAGGATAGGCTATTACACTTCCAACTAAAGTTGATATTTGAAGCAGAATTTGGATCTTGAATCTCATAATCTCTAGAATCTGTATTTAAGACCATTTTATTTTAATAACCTAAATTAAGACTTGAGCCTCCAATAATTTGCAAATACAAATCTGTAATTTAAATATTAACTGATATATTTTAAATTGCAACAATATTACTATCAGAACTCAAATTCAAAATCAACTATTATTTAAATTAAATTTTTAA